ACCCCATGGACCGCCAATGATGTCCAAAAATGGCGGCGAACTGTAAGCCAAACATGAGGGTGAAAAGCCCATGTGGCTTAGTGGCCAGAAACTGCCGAACAGCCATCTCCTGCCGTTGACTTCAGGAGCAGTCTGCTGTGTTGACAATACCAGTCTGTGCAGTGAATGTGGGACCTCACCACATCTGTAGTCACTTGGTTAACTCGCCTGATCCAAACATTCCATACAAACATCCTCTTTTATGCCAGTTCAGTTGGGACGACAGGAGCCCTGAAAAAGTCATGGCTGGAAAGAAATCAGAGAGAACATGCTTTTGAAGTTCACTCTGCTTCCCTGCCAAGCTATGGTACAAGACTGTCCGGATTTGAAAGCGACCCCTTCACAGGGGCCTGCAGAAGCTACCTGGTTCTCAGACGTGGGATCAGGTGATGACCACCAAATCACGAACACACTAAACAAAGCGATTCATCTGTCCAATCTCTTCCCGATTCAGGAACCGTTTTTCCATGTTTCTCTGAAAAAAAAAGAAGAAGAATCCGAACGAACTCCACCTGTTCCTGCCTGTCAGCGGGGTGCCCCAAAAATGTTCCAAAAAGGTTCTTCGGGTTATCTAATTGGTTATCTAATTACTATGAATGGGTGATTGGCACCCAATGACCTGCCGCACAAGCTATGTCTCCTTCGACCAAACGCAATGACCTGCCACCATCCTCAAACCCCACCCAATCCAACGCCCGCCTTTTTGCGCGGTGCGCCCTGCACGTACCGTCACGGCCTCCTGCGATGTCACACCACAGCGTCGAGCGTGTTCGTCGCCACATCACTGGTCAACTCGAAGCCCAACAACTGCCGCGCTCGCTCGATGTTCAGGTAGGGCCGCAGCAAAGACTGCAGCTCGCGTCGGAGGGCCACCTTCTGCAAGGCCCTCGGGATCGAGCCCCCCAACAAAAACACGTCAGAAAACGAAATCAACCTTTGATGAGACAAATGTCTGAGGAAAGCCATGCTGAAAGCCATGCTTTTCAGCCATGGAAATCTGCCCAAATCCATCCAAATATATCCAAATCCTACGATTGGTGGTGTGTGGTGGATCCACGAGGTCTCTTGGAGCATCAGCTGGTGGTGCCAGAGCTTCAGCACCACTGAAACACGATAAAAGAACCTTCCAAACTGCTTGGCCCATCTTGTCCCAGCCAGTCAGCCTTGTGATGGTTATGGCACGATCAGCCTGCTTTGGTTTGTTTACCCATATCTGGCGCCATACCCACGTCTTCACACCTAGTCTCTGACCGCAGCAACCACCCTGACCGCCCTGCCAAGGTACGAACAAGCATTTGGAAGACGTCTTTGCTAATGCATTGGATGATGCAGCGATGTATGTCTTAGAATAGAGAGACCCCTCATTTCGATGCTAAAAATGCCAAAGGAACCCCTTTTCAAAACAGAAACCGAAGGCCTCGACGTCCCCTTTTACCCCGTGTCCGAAGAAACGATAGAAACGGTCCGACGCGGCGCTGACACCGCCGACACCGACGCACCGCCTTGAGGGACAATGGTCAAAGATCCGCACCAAAGGACCTCCGCGAAGCGCCGACGCGGAGGTCGGCGAAGAAGTTTGTGTCTCTTCACAAACGGGAACATATGTTTTTGAAAAAAAAACACATGTATAGAGTCTAGAGTCCAAGAAGTTGCGAGACCAAATTTCATCGGATCGAGAGCAACTTAAAGATCAACAAACATTCTGAGTCCTGGTTCCGGTCCAATTTGATCTTTAAAAGGAAATTCACTCTCATCTATTGCCTTTGGGGGTGAGTCAAAAGCCAATGTGTGACCAAGGCAGCCCATATTATGTGGGTGTCACTAAAACAAAACTGTGGCTTTCTGAATGAAAAAGATAATGCAAGACTGCATCCCCTTGAAACTTGTGCCTGTACCAAGACCCACAAGGGGTGGTTAATGGACACCCCTTAACATCTAAGGGGCTATCAATAGAAGCCCCTTAGGGTGTCCCGGTATATATATATATATACGTATATATATATATATATATTTAATTTGTTGTTTTATAGTGGAATAAAATGCATCCCATTTCTTGCAAGAAATACGTACTTCTGATCTGCTGGCAAGAAAGCACGGTCTCTCACCCTGTTCAGACCTCAAAAAGTCGTCCGTGATTGTTGTTTTCCAGAAGAACTTTTAAGTTCAGACATCCTTTACGTGTTGATGTAAAAAATCATACCTTTCACCCTCCAAGCATTTTGTCCAGCCTCTGGGTGTCGCACCCGCCAGGAAGAGGTCGGGATGAGGAACCAGCCTGACCTGGCCCTCGATGGGGCACTGCTGCCGGAGCCAAGCACTCACTGGCAGTCCACGAGGTGCCAGAGCCCCCAAGGGCTGGGAGCCATAGGCGAAGGCGTCTACCACGGAGTCGTGGAGGAAGATTTGCAAAACCTGACCCAAAGCCTCAGACGAAAACATGCCTTCGTCCGGGGGAGGTGATCCATGTGTTCAACTGTTCCGGGGGCAGTCCGGACATGGGATTTGCCAACTCAAATAGCAAGTCTGCCCGTGTCCGTAGCCAGCAACCTGGGCATTTGGGATGACCCTTGACTTGGGGTCTCAAGCAACAGACACATAAAACCGCCGCACAGGACGACCTCTTGAGCTGCTCCGCGCCTCCAAGCCCTGTGCTTTGCCAGCTGCCAGGATTCTTGACCGCAGGGTGGGAATCACATCAGGCTGATCAATGCCTACGGCAGAGAGCAAATCATCAATCAGTTTCTTCACATAGTTGCTGGTGCCGCTCGGAAAGCCCTGCATCATATACCGCTGCATGCTGCGAGTGTATCCTCCACTGGCGAAGCATGAAGAGAAGGCCGACACCGCCAACGCGCGGTACTCGTGCGCGCGATCGCTGATGTTATGATCACGGATGGACAGTACCTGTGAAAGCGAACGGATGTCTCCAAAGGCTCTGCGTGAGAGCCGCATCACTGGTGGCCCAGCCAATGGATAGTCCAAGAGTTCGTTCGCCAAAGCAGTTTGAAGCTCGTACAGGACACTGGAGAGTGCCTCAGGTTGGCATTCCCCATTCTAGGCTCGAAAGGGGTATCCATCGGGTCCATTCCTCTTGGTCAAATTTGCCAGGGGATGCCAGGGGCATCTTTCAAAATGTGCCTCGAAAGATCAATTTGATCCATTTGGCTGAGAAAAATTCCACTCACCACTAAGCACACCCTCCCGGGGGGAAGAAGACCAGTGTCATCCGCAGCAATGGGAATCAGCAGCTCCAATGATTTATCTCAAGAGGACACCTCGTCCTACCTGTAGGAAACGGTAGGATGGTCTGCCCAACGTGACTGAGCTACATGGTGCTGGTTTTGACCCATCCCCATACACATCCGTATACCTATTGGCCTATTGGCCCTATTCTACACTTCCACGATCTTCAACATTCTTCGAGACATATGTCCTCTGTCAACCAGCCAGTCGAGTAAGGCGGATGTATAAGGCAATCAATCAGAGAGGACGAACAATTCGAGTTTCATACCCGTCGAAGCAGATTTCTACCCCTCGAGACCGTGTCGAGATCTTCCACTTGGCGGCATAGAGATGGTAGAAGACCACATAGCCTTCACTGGCCCAGCGCTTCTCGTTCTCCAGCATTTCATGGATCACACCACTGGCTCTGCAGCGCAAGGGTCTCTCCACCGATCGGAGGAAGTCCTGTAGGATGGCCTGTGAACACTCCAGGGTTAGGACTCCCGGGCAAAATTGAGCAAACACATCACCGACCTCCACCCACCTGACTCGCCTGACCTCCCGAGCTGCTTTGCTGGAAACATAGTGAACCGAACGAACTCCAGCTGTTCCTTTCCTGTTGAGTGGGGCGTCGCCAATTCTGCAAGGTTTTCCGGGTCCTCCTCCGACGTAATGCAAAGAGTGAACGGGATTCCACAGGGTTCAGGCGGAAGGAGGGGAAGAACCGAGGGTTCAATGGAACCGGTGCCCTGGGGTCCAAATAAACAAACACGACTGGGGGATGACGTGCCATCTACTCTCAATCCACGATACAAAAGCAGGCTGGTGGTGCATGAAACTGGCCACTGACACAAGAATGTGCTGTTGCTAGCGCGGCAAAAAACTGTTCCTGAACAGCTCTCAAGATGGTCTTGGTGTTCTAGATTTTTAGGGGGCTCTCTGTTGATGTGCCATTGGCCTTCATATCTGCACGCCCTTGCAAGGAGGGCGTTGAGGCATAGAGCGCCCAGTGCTCTTCCTTCATCTCATCAAAAACCCGTTGGCTCGCATCCACAAAGACGTTGCAGCTGTTGAGGCCATGCTCCGGGTTTGCCCCCACCTGCCAGCTCAGCTTGGGGAGAGCGCTTGCAGAACGAATCGTCCAAGGAGAGTGCCTGAGATATGCTGCAAAGGATGTTTCTATTGGCAAAAAAAAAATACATTTCCCGCAAACCACCAAGGTTGCACGTCCAATCTTCCATGGGTGATGACTTGGTTGCATACTTGGTTGCTGCCGAGCCCTGGGGAGCCCTGTTGTTTCTCTGTGAGTCACAAAGAAAGGTTTCAGTTGTTGACTGTTCAAGAAAGGATTCCACCTGAAACACAGTACATGGCTAGGCTTAGCGACGTGATTGTTCCGTGATGAGGTCCTCAGAATGATGTTCGACCAGGCCAAAGACGACCACAATATACCACAATATAATATGACTGCACGACCAATAATAGATGGGAAATCCATGCAATTCCAGGGTATCTTTCTTGAGTTTATGCGTTGTGAAGCACTCATTCAACGATCTTCGTGGTATCTAATTTTGTTTGAAGCGAACATCTGGCTGCGCTGGCTCTGCGCAGTGACGCGTTTGCATGCTTTTGCTATGTCAGAAAGTGTTTTCTAAATTATAAACAATCAACATATTTTTGTTGCATGAGAAGTCCCACTGTCAAAGCCAACCCTCGGTATCTTCCAAGTCCTCGCCTGACGGAGTACCTCTTCCATCTCGTTCTCCAACGGTTCTCCAAAGGAGCTGATGGAGCTCCTGACGCGCTCGGGTTATCGTCCACCCCAGCGCCGAACAACGAAGCGGACAGTCCCGGTGCGACGTGTCGAGTGGAGAAAGGGGGCATCCTTTAGATTAACAAGGCACATAAATTCGTCTTTGGAGCAAAACCCGGTCCTGAAACTGGGGCATGGGATGCAAATGCAAATCAGAAGCAAATGGATGGAGCAAAGGGCCAGCGCTATACGCCCAGCTCTGGTCTCATAGCCCGACGCCAGCAGCAACACAAGGATGGTCAAAAGAGTCCTCACCCCAGCATCATCCCAAACACAAAAGGGGAAGGGGCAAAAGAGACTCAAGTGACTCAAGTAACTGCAGTCTAAAAGACCAACTCAGAGCTCAGAACTCAGGCTTTGAGATGCCAAATGTCCTCCAAACCAACTTGTGCCCAGCCCTACGTGACTCAACCGACCTAGGTCAAAAGGGGCTCTGGGAGCCACAAAAGCCTTCCAAGCCCTGACTGGACAGCTCCAACGGCGAACAAACCGCAGGACGGCACCTGGGATCCCAATGAAATGTCCTCATGTAGCGAGGGAAACTGAGAAAACCTCGGTAAACCTCTAACCTCTCGGTCATCCCCAAACTGCTGCACTGTAGCGGATCAACTGCTCAGAGTGTATGGTTCTCTAATTAAGAGATCAGATCCATCACCTGTGACCCCAAGCGTGCCACGGCCCCCCACCCACCATGGCATCGGTCCCAGTGGCTTCACATGTGGCACCTGGATCGCGGCACGGGTCTTGCGCTGGATCCGGTTGAAGCAGCTGCAGCGAGGTGTCAGGAGGACCTTGAGCAGCGCGAAGAGCCAGGAGATGAGAATGATGCTCCTGAGTCCGTCGAACGAGAACACGGTCTGCTCCTCCCCAAAAAAGAATTCTCTGGGCCCAGGAGAGGTCTGTAGATGTCTGGAGTCTGCAAAGAGCTTTCTATGACAGAATTTGAGAACCCTATACTGCAATACAGGACCGCATGTGAATGTCAAGGCCAGCATGGCAACTGCTCGGCATCGACCTACAAATGATGAAGTAGCCTGACCGATGCCTCAAGCCTCTCCAGAAATTCTTCCCACCATGACCGTTCAACCAACCGGTGGGGGCATCGAAGTTGTTCTTCTTCAGGTGCCATTCAGGTCTCTGTGCCAGGGCTAAACGACATGGAGACCTGACGTGACACCTTGAAAGGTTGAGGCGAACTGCTAGGATATTGAGCACAGCATGTCTGGGTAGAACAGACTTTCCCGATCGTGAGCACAAACCAGAAGCCGCCCGATGGATGCTGTATACTTGAAATCAAAAGATGAAAAGTGTACCACTTATTGACTCAGGCTCATCATGACAAAGCTAAACTCTGCCTGCTGCTCCTTGGTATAGACAGCTTGCACTTTGAAACGTCAAGTCAGATGTTGGATGTTCCAAAGGCTCTTGGCAGCCTCATCTCAAAGCGTGAGGGCCGTATTTTGTTTCCTGCATTTCTGATATTTTCTTGCCATCTTGAGCAGGAATTCTTCAGTTTGGGGGTTCGACTGAAATCACATGAAATCACCAAATCGCCGCATGACTGGAGTCGTGCCTCATCATCAGCCCTTGGAGTCGTCGTCCCAAAATAGGTGAAGAACAAGACCGCGGACCAGGCCACTCCAGGCTTCGGCGGAAGGCCCAAGACGATCAGGATCGAAAAGCAGGGAAAGAAGGTCGCACGTCCCTGAGGTGTGATCCAGAGAATGATGAGGGAGGCCATCAGCAGCTTTGATTCGATTTGGCTTAAGACAAAACCTCAGCCACGAATCAAGCTATCTGAGAATCAACTTCTGGGACAACTGATGAGCGCAATGCGCATCACTACGCACATATACGCACATATTGTCCCTCATGATAGATCTTGCTTTTCCTTCGGCCAGGCAAAGAATAGCAGCTGTCAACATCATTTCAACTGAAGGGGGAGATCCGACCAACATCGTCCAGTGTCTCAAAAAAGAATAAGAGGCTGTCCAAAGTTCCCTGATTCAGCTGCGAAACCACACTTCTGTCTGATGCGACTGGCCAGTGAAGCGTTGAGGCCGATGGCCACGGGAGTGGCAGCCTCCAGGGAAATCCCAGCGTTCCGAAGCTCTTCCATGGCAGAGTTGAAGTATTGCTCATCTGGGTAGCCTTGGAAGGAGGATGCCTCCACAACTACCCGACTATCCCCATACTCTTCCACCGGGAATGGTGGGGTGACCTCTGAAAACTCGGCGGACCCAAAGCTGGGCGTGGACCGCCCAAAGGTTGGAAGAACACGTAAGGCCTGTGGTTTCTTCCGGTGTCCCCCAATAAATAAATCAAAAAGGATGAAAAATTGCAAAAAGGTCTGAGTTGAGTATATATGGCTGTGCCTTAGAATAGGGAGACCCCTCAGTTCGACTTCTGGGAAAATCAAAAACAGACCAAATCCATTGGTTGGGAGGTCCCCCTATTAAAATGCAAACCTATATATTGCAAACCTATATATATATATATATGTCCCATTGCCAGCAACAGTGCACGATGATGGTAATTAGTAGAGGCCTTTCTCAAATATAGTCGATCATCTTTTACTGCCTGTTAGATAAAGGTCACACCTAGGTCCTTTAGCACTCTGAGAAACCATGCCTGGCTGGTCCACCCGTCATCGAGGTCTTCAGATGAATGGCGAAGGTGGGATGAAGGCGTTGGGTGGTGAGAGAGGGACTCAGGCTGAAGAGCACTCGCCGCCGGAAGGCGAGCTGAAACATGGCCAGGAGCTTCTTCCCCTCCTCGTTGTCTGGTAAATAGGCATGCTGGGAGCGCCCATCATAGTCCTGGCCACCTTGAGATCCACTGGAAAATGAAAAATGCAAGACAAGCGTGGGACAGCTGTGGCCAGCCAATCGAAACTTGCTGGAGCTCCAAGACATCGTCCCATCCAGCATGGAGCCCATGCGATCCCCATAGAAGTGCCCACACGTTGGACATGAGGGCCTCTGTTCGAACCAGCTTTCCAAGCAAGCAACGTGATACTGGTGGCCACACGGCAATTTGCTGCATGCACTGGTGTCCAAACATATGCAACATGTTCTATCATCCTCCATGTTCGCACCATCCTCCAAGGGCTCTAATATATCACTAGCCTTGGGTTGATTCAACTCTGCAGCATCTTGCGGCAAGACCAGTTGACATGGCAGAGCGCCCAAACGCGCCATGGCTCCCGTTGCTGGCTTCAAGAAAACGTGTCCTGATCAACATGGTGTCGGTATCAATCTCAGGATCTCCACTTCGGATTTGGGAGGAGGAGAGCTTTAACTTTGAGTCTCTGGAGTCGGCCGACAAGGGCCATCGACGAAAAGGGCTAGAGAAAGAATCATCTGGGCCGACTGTTCTTCGGGTGTTCTTCGGGAAATCGGATGGTATTTCTGATTTCAGCCGCACGGATTCAGCGCATGCTCTAGGCTTGACCTTCTTCTGGAAGAAAAAGAACACTTTTACGTTCAGCCCGGTTTGAACGGAATTCAGCTGAATTTGCACCACTGATTGCACTTGGAAGGGTCTTTGCCAGTACTGTCAAAGCTTGGCCAAAAGCCAGCAAATGCCCATATTAAATTGGTTTGACAAGAACAGTGTGACATGCCAGAGTGAGGCGGAAAACTGGCTCCCCTGATCACCCCCGGTTTGTGTGGATCTGGATGAAATGGACACAAACTCCACCCGTGACATTCTTCCCATTTGCCACCTCTAAAGCTGTGATGATCCAACCCATTGGGGGTGATCATTCCAGTCCGTCTCGTGGAATGGCAAGCTCTTCCCAATTCTTTCCACTCTTTGCGGCCGCTTTTGCGCACTACTGCAACATGGGTGACTCTGGCATTAGCCTCTCGAAATCACCGACATGAAAGCTTCAATCACCCATCAGACGCGCACAGCATATGGAGGTAACACCATCGAAGCGGAAGCCGTCAAACTGGTATTCCTGAAGCAGCGATTCGCGGAGGAAGAGGTGCTTTCGTCAGGGAGAATTTCAGGCGATGGAGAGGCTGCAGTTGTTTTGGAGGGTTGAAGGGGGGTCCTAAGCTTTGCTGCGGGTGCCTGGTGAGCGGGCTGTTGGCTGTGAACTGGCCGTGAACTTCGGCACCCCGTTCGTCCCAAAACTCTGGCACGTCCGCTCAGGTGGTTCATGACAGCTGTTCCAAACTTTGATACCTTCCCTGTCTGCAAGATAGTAATTACATCTGTCCTTGTGATCGATACACGAAGTTTGCTGCCTCATGGCGCCGATGCGCCGATACCACTGCCGGCAAACTGTGAACTGTGTTTTCTCAGGCCCGCCACCACGGCGTGTCTCAGCACGAATCCGCCCTAGTTGGGTTTCTCCTTTGAGAGGTGATTCACAGTCCGGTCATGTACTTATATCAGCTCCTGCGCCGCCTGCCCGCTGATGGCACAGACCTCTGCGCAGTTC